GCTAAGGGTGTGAGGAGGGGTTCCCCCCTCCACATAGGGAGATTTTTAAAAATTCGTGCCCATGAAATGATTTTCTGCACACTTAAATTCAAGTATTAGCGCGTAACTTATATGAGAGTGGGATACTGTAAATACCACTTTCTATACCCCCATCCTCTGCTTTTTATTTTTTCCACTCGCCGCATCGCACAAGTATGGCGCGATAGGCCCCTGGCTGTTGCGCGGAGGTCTGAGGTTAACGACGCACCAGGTTGGTGGACCTTAGCTAGACCAGTGAAAATGGCCTGTACGAAAGCCAGTGTTATTTTCAGGGGGAGAAAACAGAGTGTACGCGACAAAGACAGCGAATGAATGCAATTTCTCAACGCGGGGAGGGTGGTTTCCCCTCTCCCACCAGTAGGTAATTTTTTGAACATATGTGCATCAACATAGCATTCTTGCCGCACATTCATTTTTCACTATTAGGTATAGAGTAATAGTGCGATATAGACAATCCATTAAGGGCCCTTTTGCTTATATTTTGTAACTCTCTCCGATCAAGAGGGGATCATAGGCTCCTGTTGTGGCCCTCCCCTTAGCTCTCTATGTCCTCATTTCACGCACTGACGGAATGATTGGAATAGTTTGATTTGTGTTTGTTAGCAGTACATGCCAATGTATGCATTTTATTCGTCCATAAACTGTTTCATGTTCTCATATAAAGTTTAAAGTTGAAATTATTTTCTTGAAAAAGTAGCAGGCATTATGAATGAATCGAAATAAGATCTACGGAGAAAAAAAACAAGGTAGTATTGTTGGAACTTGCCCACTGAATAAACATGCAATTTATCTTAAATTACAAAAGACTTTACACTGTTTAAAGAATACAATAGCTTATAACAGATCACTTTAAATTTTTGTTCGTTCAATAAAAATGTTTTTTGCTTTCTCTGATGAAGAACTAAAACCATATTGAGAATTTGATTTCAATAAAAAACAAGGTAGGTGCCAAATAGCCGCCTCTATTAAAATAAAAGGAAATTTCTACCATGAAAAAGGAACTTGTTTTTTGCCTCCCTGATAGAGACAGTTAGCTTAAATGGGGGAGTGTTGAAATCGGCGAGTTTTTGGAATTAAAACCGAGGTGGATGCCAACCAATGGCCGATCTATAAGATTCGAAATATATCAAAGTTATTCACAAAGCATTTCCATTGTTCTTATCTCTTCTGTCAGAATAACATGAGTTCTAGAACCATAAATTCAATCAAAGCCACTTGCCAAACAACACAAATCTGAGCAAAGAGATTATCTCGTTTCTTTTGTCATGTTGTTTGTTCCTGCTGGAGCAATCTGACAAATCAAAGTCAAGTCATTCTCGCGATTCTTGCCACAGAACCATCTTCGAGGATTTGCTGTTGACATTTATGTCCAACTTACACTTACGTCCTGTTCAACCGAAACAGGAGAAATGAGGCAGAGAATACGTGGCGCTGGCGTCATTGCTAGAACGAAGTTTCTAGCACTTGGACAATGGCTCATTTGTAGTAGATGTGTCGTTCACGCAGGATGCAGACAGTAACAGAATTGTGGCATCCTAGTGAAGACGCGTGAGTAGCGCAAGCTGAAAATGGTTTGTTTTGTTTTGTTTGCCAAGATCAAACAAGGGGGGCCAATGGCGCCTTGTGCCCCCTGTAGCTACGCGTGGCCTGCAATACAAATTCTCGATCAGGCACGTACACGTGCGTGCGTGCATGCGTGCTTGTGCAGCAGTGTGCACCCACTCACGTGAGTGCGTGCGTGTGCACGTAAGCACGCACGCACGCGCGCACGTGTACGTGCACACACACATACACGCACGCACCTGTACGTGCACACGCACGCACTCACGCACGTGCACACGCACACGCACGCACGCACGCTCGTGTACGTTCTCACGTACGCACGCACGTGTACTTGCACACGCACGCACGTGTACTCCCACACGCACGCACGCACGCACGCACGTGTACGTGCACACGCACACAAGCACGCATGCACGCCCGTGTACGTGCAGACGCACGCACACACGTGTATGTGCACACGCACGCACACACGTGTATGTGCACACGCACGCACGTGTACGTCACTGATCTCTACTATACTATAGTAGTTAGTATAGTTGGAGTATAGTAGTTACAGTTATAACAACTGTAATACTGTTATACAGTTATAGTAATACAGTATATTACCAGGAGTAGATAATAGGGATTATTATCTACTATTATTCCCTATTATCTACTCCTGATATTACTGTATATAATACCTTGATAATACTGTAATACAGTTATAGTAACTGTACAGTAATTACTAGTAATAGTAGTTACTATAGTAGAGATCAGTGGTGTACGTGCCTTGGCCCTTGGAGATTGTATTGCAGCCTTGCACGCCACCAAATGGTGAAATCCGGTAGCATTTTCATTTATTCCATTTACAGTTGCGTTCGTTCAATTTACAGTACTGCGCACGTGCTATAGCGAGTATTCTATTCTGTTAACGGACGTTGTGTGTACGTGCGTACGTTACGTGTTGTATATCTGTCCCAGATTGCGTTGCTTTGATTCAAAGTACTGCGCATTTCCTATAGCGAATTTTCCATTTTACTCTTTGTACTTTCTGTTTATGGAAGTATTGCTTTCATTGCAAAACATCTTGTTAACGTTCCAGGTTGCGTTGCTTTGATTCTGTGCTACATCGTATTTTTCGTTTTACTCTGTGTTTTCCGTTTATGGAAGTATTGTTTTTATTTCAAAACGCATTGTTTCTATTCAGACTTGCATTACTTATATTCCTGTTTGTGTTTTCTATTTATGGAAGTATTGTTTCTATTCAAAGTTACATTAATTCTATTTCCCATTTTAGTTTTAAAGGGAATGGCTTGCCATATCTGTTAGTGGAGTGAACTAGCAGAAGAAAAATCACCACACCGGAGGTTATGGACATGCGCAGCATGCAGTATTATGCATTGAATTGACACGTTCATGATAGGATTCATTGATATGTTCACAATGATTTTTAACATCAATCATATATAATAGATACTAGAAAACAAACACAAAAGTTGTGATGCTCACTAAAAGGTAGTGCAGAGCTAATGCACCTGTTCTTTACCATTTGGCTAGTGTTATTGGCATTATTCATTGGTAACCAAATGAACTATTGACTGCGATTCTGAATTGCTGTTGTGAATGTCTTAGGTGATGTGGCTTTTGCCACGTCTTCTGGTAGCTGATTCCAGTCTATACAGGTGATATGACACAATTACAAGTTTAGAGTGAAGAACAATGACATTACAAGACTTGCTAACACACTATGCAAATCTATGTTCACGTTACAATAAAACATGCTAAAACAAGCTATGTTCAATGTCATGGTCAGCTATTATGATAAAGGAGTTTAGGAGAAGAGTTCATCATTCTGCTCTAGTTTCTGGAATAGATTGCTAGTCCTAATAAACTGTGACATTGTGGTTATTGCAATATTTACATTTCCTTCACTTCTTTGCTTCACCACAATGAAAGTGTCAATGACACTGTAGCTCACCACAAAAAAAGGACACAAATGAGTGAGTAAGAAGAAGTCAGTTTTA